ATATATACTCTTTTTGTATGAGAATTACACTGTATTAGGTCAGTTACCAAAAAGTTCATCAACGTCCAGTAACCGAACATTCACTCAGTTGCAATTTTTTGATTGCCTGCAATAAACCACAATGCCAAAGATTTACTGGGAACGTTTATTTTTTTTTCTCTCCATTTATTCTATTTCATAACAATAACAAGACATTAATGAATGTGAAAATGATGCAAATAACAACTGCGATCCGAATGCTAACTGTACGAACAACGACGGTTCGTATATATGCACCTGCAAGAATGGTTTTGTTGGCACAGGGAATGATTGTTTTGGTGAGTTATTAAAATACATTATAATATGGTGTTTTTTAATATTTTTTTAAATTGTGATTATTATTATTATTATTATTATTATTATTATTATTATTATTATTATTATTATTATTATTATTATTATTATCTTATTGTTATTATTACTACTATTATTACTATTATTGTTATTATCTTATTGTTATTATTATTATTCTTTATTATTATTATTCATTTATTATTATTAATGACGTAGTTGTTGTTACTGCTTTCGCGTTAATTTAGCGTTAATTGTATTGTTTTTGTTTATTGTTGTTGCTTATTACTTTAATATTATATTATTATTATGATCATGATTATATTATATTGTTAATATTTATGTTATTAAGTTTTATTATTATTTTTACTAATTTTAATTAAATTTATTAAATATGTTTTGTTGTTATTAGATATCATCGAATGTGATAATCCCGGATCTTGTCCGGATAATGCGTTATGTACCAATACGGAGGGATCTTACAGTTGTACCTGCAATATAGGTTTTGCGTATAACCAAACAGGCGACTCGTGTAATGGTGAGTTAGAAAATATCGAGACGCTCTCAAGTGAAATAATTGTTTGTGTCTTGTCAAGTGAGTAGTCTATTTTGTGGAGATATATGTAATAGTCTTCCTTTTTTTTTACATTTAATAGATATAAATGAGTGTGATGATTCAACCTGCAGCATGAATGCCGCATGTCGTAACACCATAGGATCGTACGTATGTACATGTGACGCAGGTTTCCGTGGAGATGGGTTCCAGTGCACTGACATCCATGAATGTGAAGAGAATATTCATGACTGTGACATTAATGCTGAGTGTGTAAACACGAATGGCAGTTTCAGTTGCTTTTGTAACACCGGATACGAAGGAAATGGAACCATGTGCACAGGTACGATTATATTATATAATAATAAATATATCTGTATGATTCAGAAATTGGTTAAAAAAACATTTTCTTCGTCGCTACATTGTTTTGCCGGAATCTGTTCTATGAGCTTAATTTATGGTTTTATAATTCTGAATTTTTCTGTAAATATCTAGATTGTCTTCTGGATTATGTTGTGTGTGTGTGTGTTTTTTTTTTTTTAAATATTTTTACGTTTCAGTATGTTAATGGTCGACTCCCAACTTTTACACTCGCAATTTTAAAAAATTTTTTAAGTATTCATGTCTATTATAGACAGAATGGTCTGCGAGCCCAACTTATGGAATAATATTGATGCTAACTTAAAAATATGCACAAATGCTAAATTATTTAGAAACAGATGAAAATCACTTATTTAGAAATTTTATCTGTCATAACTTTTAATTAATTAAAAATATTTTACTTTTTTACTTTGTTCTTAATTTAAATTTAAATTGTATTTTGTTTATCTATGTATTCATTTCGTGAATGTGATTTGTGATTTGTCCGGGTCAAGCGGAGACAAGCTCAACTTTTAAGCTTGACCCAAATTGATGGAATCTTGTATTTTTCTTTTTTCCAATTGATTGAATAAATTTGTAATACCTTATTCCAATCCCAGGGTCCTGAGTTAAACAACTTCACTCTCAAACTAAACCTCATTATGAGACTAAGTTTTTGAAGCATAACCGTGCCATATTTGAGACCACTAGATATCCACTAAACCAGCTAATAAGCAAAAAAGGCCATTTTTGCATTTGAATTACCACAAAGTTTCTCTATTAGCAACGTGCAGTCAATAAATATGTTTTTTATGTAGATACAAACGAGTGTGAAACAGATATGGATGATTGCGATGCTGTCGCTAACTGCACAAACACTTTAGGGTCATTTCGATGTACTTGTGGCACGGGCTTCACTGACACCGGAGCTGGTAGAAAAGGAGATTGTAATAGTAAGAAAAAAAAGTTATCGTTTCTTGTAAAACAATGTAATTAATATTTAGTTTTATTATATGTAATTTCATAAAGTAAACTCAATTTAAACTATTAGTATTTAATCGAATCACCTTAAACAATTATATTAAGATTATTTTATCATTATTATTCGTTTATAGACATAGATGAATGTGATTTAGGCATTCACTCTTGCGACATAAATGCAGAATGTAACGACACTCTTGGATCGTTTGCGTGTCAGTGCAATGAAGGGTACACGGGGTCCGGTACCAAATGTGAAGGTATGCTACACATTGTAATGTAAAAATAATATTAATTATGTTTTCTCTATAACTTAATAGTTGTATGTGTATGTTGATACTAAATTAATACTAATGAATTGGGCCTCGTATTTTCTCAATATTTTTATAGCGAAAGAAATGGCTCCCTGTAAATTTTCAACAGAGCAATGGACAAAAGTCAGACAGCAAGTTCATCTTAAAAACACCACAGCAGTTTTCCAACTCAATATTGTGTTGTAGGCCAGGCCTACCTGATCTTATTACAGTAAAATGTATTTATACATACATGTTTCGTTAGTACATCGGCCATTGTCAGTGAAGTGATTGCTTTCACGCCATCTCTAACCAGTTAAAGATCAATAATAGCTGATTAGGTTTATTTCTAGATATCTTGTTTTTATTCACTTTAACAAACTAACTAAACATTGGATGACACTATGACTATTCGTTATTTTTCGTTATATATTTGTGTGTGTGAATATATATATATATGTGTGTGTGTATTAAAATGTATATATATGTATATATAAATGAATATAAAGTTGTCAGTTCAGGCAACGTTTGTATATATATATATATATATATATATATATACATATATATATATAGTATAAGAGACAGTATATATATATCTACAGTGGCAAAAGGCCGGCTGGCAAAGGGCCTATGGTGACAACGGGTCTAGGTGGCAAAAGGCCGGCTGGCAAAAGCAGTGGTGGTGCCAGAGGGGGCCGGGGCTATAGCCCCCCCGTCGGGGAAGACGATAACTTTTGTCAGGGAACAAACAAATAAAAAAATGTATTATTCGTTTAGCCACCATATTGTTTGTGTTAACTTTTCATCATCATCACAACAACAACAACAACAATAATAATAATAATAATAATAATAATAATTACACATCTAGATGTGTATAAGATAATAATAATAATAATTCAATGAGACTAATTAAAAATAACTTGCGTTCTGTTATGACAAATGCTCATTTAGATAGCCTCATGATGGTTGGAATACATCGTGATAGGTGAAGCAACCTCGACCATGACAGCGTGGTTGACAGATGTCATACAAAATTTACAAAATATAGAATTTCACTTTCAAGAATGAGGATTTGAAAATAAATTAGATGGTTGCATTGCATACTCTTTGTTTCTTGCTTTATTCAAAATGTTTTGGTTTTCGAAGCTGATTTCAACATTAGAAAGCATAGCCTATATGAAGTCATATAGTAACTCGATGCCAATCAAATAAGTAATAAAAATTCGCCATAATTCATCAAATATCCGTGGCTTCCCCACTGGGGGCCCTACGCAGCCCCCTGGCCCCAGCCAAGTGAGACTCGATTCGCTCCACTAGCACCACCCCCCCCCCCCTACACATCTAGATGTGTATAAGAGACAGGAGTATGTATTATACTTTCTGAAAGAGAATACGTTGGCATTAAGGTAGGGCTAAAATAATTATGTTGATTATTTTTTTCAAATTCCAGCAAAAATAAAGTAGGATGTTACTCACTTATTTTCAGTAATGTTTCACCACTAACCTAGTATTTGTTTTACATTTATTAGACAAAAACGAATGCGTAGAAGTAAGCGTCTGTGATGGTGATAATGTTATGTGTACAAACACTGATGGAAGTTTCTTGTGCAGTTGTGTAGAAGGATATGCTAACATATCTGGCATATGTACAGGTATAGCACCCATTTAGAAAAAAAAAATGTAGAATACACTGTTTTGAAATTAGATACGTAAAACATCTTAATTTAATACAAAATAACAGACTTATTGCAGCTATATCAATAAAACAATTTAGATTTGTCGTTTTCCTACTATCATATTGCATGGTCAGACTCCGGAAGAAAAACATTTTTTTGTTTGATATGTTGTAGGACTTATTTTTCTAAGGCAGAAAAAAGTTGTTTGAAAATTTTAAAAACATATCATGTTTTTTCCTCCAGAGTCTGATTTTAATATTATCTTTCAGACGCCTTATCTTTGAACCTGTCGGTGATCTTCACTCACATCGGTGGCCATATTGTGACACAATTAACCGAATTGACTTTAACTGAGCAAAATAATCTAGTTAAAGATGTAAGTAATAATCTTGTCTTATCCATGACAGATTTAGTTTTCACAAATTTAATCATGCCCTTGATGGCATAAGCGATTTCAATATTTAGTTAACCATATCTGATAATGACTTTGAAATCTGGTCTTAGAAAAAAAATCTCAATCTTAATGATCATTGGAAATTACTGAATTACTATTCAAACTTTTTCAAACTAAAGTAGTGATAACTACTGCAAGAAATCTTTTGAAATCCTTTTGACATATATATTATTGGAATTAATATTCAGATCTTTAGATAAAATCAATATGTTAGGTAAAAATCTTTACAAAATTATTCTATTAAAAAAGATGATTTTATTCTAGTCTACATTGTTATATTAGACACAAGGTAGATATTTCGATATGTAACACAATAATTTAAGATGAAGTAAAAAAACAACATGAAACAGTTAGTTAATTTTAGGTTGTGTTTTTTATGTGTAAGATGTTTAGAGCCCTTGACACACTACAGGAAATAACTATTTAAATATGTTTTAAATAACAAATGGTAAAATAATGATAAAGAAGATACTAATGACAAATGCAAGTTTCTTCGCAACCTACGTACATATATTTTATTTTATTTATTTTATTTCTAAAATCATTTATTTTTATTTTATTTCGAAAATCATCCAACAGCGGAAGCCAATTACAGGATGTCTTATAATACATATAAATATATAGAAAAATACAAACAAGTGAAAAGATAAATTGATAAATAACATTACAGTATAAAATGGAAAAGAGAAATTTACAAATATATTGCGAGAAATTACATCAAAATTACAAATTGATTAATAATATTACAGTATGAAATGGAATAGAGAAATTTACAAAAATATTGCAAAAAATTACATCTTAAAAAAATTGCAAGTTCAAAAAAATACAGATAAAAAATCCAGATAAGTAAACAAACAAACAAATGCAAAACAAGAGATCGTATATACAGTTTAGTTCTTGTGCTATATGTGTATTAGTAATTTTTGCCATGAACAATTAATTGAATCGTTCTTGACAGCAAAACTTAAGAAAAATATGTTGCTAGAGATATCTTAATATCAAACGTTTACGATTTGGAATGTCGGTTTGTTTACACTGCTTATTAATGTGTTCCCAAAACTTGTCTTTTTCAGATGTCGGCCTTACTGCAAACAACGAGTTTATCCACAGACCTCATTGATGTTACGTTTGACGAATCTATTAATGTTACGGGAGGACTATTAGTTGAATTTCGCATAGACTTAACAAAAGAATCAGGAACTACATATACTCAATTAGTGACAATTTTTGAAATGGCAACAATGAATGACAACAGAGTGCCACCAGAAAATGCTATCTATGTGCCTCCAGGTAAACCCATTATCGTATGTTTTGTCGTTTGGATATGATAGGCCTACTACGAGTTACTCCACTTCTTTTATACGTGCATATCATAAATTTAGGGCTAATAAAAACAAATGCTACTTATTTTATTTATCATGTTATTGTGTTTGTTAATGTTCAGTATATATCATATATTGTCAAAACTTTGTACTGTATATATTCTGAAAGTATATTGACGTTAGATTCCGAGACAGTCCAGCGATACATGTACAATGGAAAATGGTGTCATAAGCATTAACTAGTATTTCAGAACATTAAATAATAATCGTCATTTATATAGCACATATTTTCATCGCGGTTACAAAGCGCTTGCTTCATGCAAGATGATCCTCTTTGGAGTAGGTATTCACCTAACCGAGAAAATAGTGGCGTATCTAGAAGTCTTGAAGTGGGGGTGCTGATGGAGGGGCGAGTGTGCAGGGGGGCTCGATGGTCAGGTGAGTGGCGCTAATGCCCAAAAAAGGTGATTTTAGGTAATTTATAACTACTTGACCGTGATTTTTAGGGGCGACTGGGGAATGCGAGTATTTTTTGGAGGGGCGTGTGCGCCCCCACCCGCGCACCCCATAGATACCCCACTGTTAGAAAAGAAACTAACTTACTGTTCATTGCCAAGTTATCAATAAGACATTTTTGCTTGAGTAGATCATGATACAAAAATGAAAGCCATAGACTAATCTTAACTGTTGGTATTATTTTAATATTAAATAATATTAAATTAAAATAAATATTAAATAATATTAAATTAAAATAAATAAATAAATATTCATTCATAATGTTAACCTGATTTCCCTCACTGTTGTAATCTTTTATTTTGATCCGGTTTTTCCTTTCATTGTAAAGCGCTTAGAGGTTTCTTGCATTTTGCGCTATATAAGAATAAATTTATTATTATTATTAATAGAAAACTCAATTGCTCTGAACCTTACAAAAGGGCATAGATAGCGCCCTTTACTTATTTTTTTGAAACATTGCTTTCCTTATAGATGCCACTGAAAGTGGGCCATCATGAAACTACATGTATGAGGGAGGGAGGGAGGAAGGGCAGGAAATCGCAAAGTAATGAATGGTAACAGTTGATGGATGCGATATTTTGACAATTAGTAAAGAATACCTTCGAGTAAGTTGTTGCCTCGATTATGGGACCAAGCCAAGAGGATGAAAGATGTATCATGGGATTGCTCCCTAAGCAAAAATGCGATTGCCTGCCCTCAATGTTGTCTTTTTGCTTGCGTACGTCATAATATACATAAATAAAAGACATATACTAATCTTAAATTGGGTATTATTTAATAGAAAACTTGATTGCTCTCCGTTATACCATACGCATGCTCAGTTTTATTTTTATACGCAAGGTCCAAAATGGTCCGCTTTTCAAGATGAGTTCTTCGCTTCGGCGAAGTTTTGAGTTGGAACAGTTTCTACTTTTTTACGAGGCCAAACAATGCGCAGCTGCAGTTCGTAGCTAAGTTAATAGTACGCACGTGAGAGTGCGTGCAAAGATAAGGTCGTCATAGCATCCCATGACTATGCTTCCTAAAGCATATTAAAGAAATTGATGTATAATAGTCCAAAAAAAAGAACTGGAAGCATAACAATAAGATTTGACCCAGGGGACATTATGGTAGATATAGAAGAAAGATGGATTTAAGATTATTCGGGCTATTCAGAATTTCTTAAATTGGTTCAGGTAATATTCAGAAAGTTCAGAAGAATCAAAAACATTTCCCTGCATCGTGTAATTGCTGTTGTAGAATACATTGACCCTTTTCAACTCGTTCGTTGTAAACCTGTTGCCCCCGTTGTCTTGGAAACAATACATTCCTATTAAAATTAATTTATATTTATTGTAAATACAGATGTGGAATTACCTGTTTTGATATGTGAATCTGATGTGACCGTCGAAACGGTTCTTGGTAAGGCAACGGCTACAGTAGACATTATGCCACCCCATGTATCTGATAATTCAGGTGAAGACATCGTTGCTACAAGCAGCCCATCAATGCCAACAAATCTCGCTATTGGGTCACATACGGTGACGTTTACAGCTACTGATTTGGCTGGGAATTCAGGTTTTTGCGACGTTATGGTTAATGTTTCAGGTAACAAAAAAAATGCTCATTCGTAAATGCTTCTCCGAAAGAAAGCATTACAAAATAATATTTCATTTTATGTTGTTATAGGCTGTCAGTTTTTAGTTGTTCAAACTTTGTTTTTCCCCTTTAGGTAAAAAATCTTACGTTACGTTGTTTTTTGTTTTGTTTTTTGTGTTTTTTAGATGAAGAGTCTCCTTCATTAGTATGTGCAGCTAACTCGACATTTTACACGGACTTCGGCGAATTAAATGCTACTGTGGATATCCCTTTCCCCATGGTATCCGATAACTCAGGGGAAACTAGTGGTATTTTCACTGACCCATCAATTCCAAGAACCCTCGGCATTGGAAATCATGTAATACAGTTTACAGCTGTGGACCCGTCTGGTAATACTGAAACATGCAGCGTAACTGCTACTGTTCAAGGTAATGTAAAATCTTTGCTTTAGTATGCTTTGACGAATACTAAATCTTCTCTAAGATTTGATCTAATGTGGAATAAAGTTGAAATTTCCGAGAAAATTATAAAGCATTACGAATAAATGGACATGTTAAAAGATATAATATTGTTTTCTGTATTTAAATGGCCAATAAATGAGATAAGCTAATTTCCGGTCCGACATTGATCAAATTTGAAATTGGTGGGCGATGGCACGTGACAAGATTTTATATAAAAAAAAGCCTAATAAGTAATATATCGATTGTCAATAATTTATTGATGGGAATGCCGTAGAAGTTGTTAGAAGTTTCACCTATCTTGACGGCTATATTTCTAAGTGTCTAAGGTAGCAAATATGTTGGGTTTACCTCTCGAACTTTTGGAACTCAGAACAATTGCATTGCTGTGTGTGCTGTCTGCTTATAGAATATGGGATTCCAGCTTGGTTTCCTTAAAGTCTCTGCAAGTCGCATTTAATAAAAATGTTCAACATCGGTATCAAGTTCTTTTTGGTTACTTTGATCTATTTTCTTAGAAGTGTCTAGGTCGTAAATATTTTGGGCTATACCTCTCTCGATCTTTTTTAAAAGTCAGACCAATTAAAGTCTCTGCAAGTCGCATTTAATAAAAATGTTCAACATCGGTATCAAGTTCTTTTTGGTTACTTTGATCTATTTTCTTAGAAGTGTCTAGGTCGTAAATATTTTGGGCTATACCTCTCTCGATCTTTTTTAAAAGTCAGACCAATTGCATTGCTATGTGCTGTCTGCTTATAGAATATGGGATTCCAACTTGGTTCCCTTAAGAAGTCTCTCCAACAGTTTCGGCACCAGTGGGTTGGGTGATTCTTTTCTGTTTTTTTTTTCTCATTGTTGTTTATCTGTTATGTGTTAAACTGAAGAGGGAATAAATGATATGATGATATGATAAATTCCTAATATTGTGGTCTAAAAGCACAGATCTGGCCTATCATAAACCCTAAATTCTTTATGTAGGAATAAGTTGTTCTGAACGTATTCCTCTATGGTCTCTCCACCAGGAATTATTATTCGATTTAGACATATACCTATATACATTTACAAGCCATCCACCAACAGTAGAGAGTGATTCTTTAAAATAATAATTAAATATTAATGTAATTATTTTGTATTAGTGTCTGCAATACCTTACCAATCGTCATAGATTAAACAGGGGTAAAACAGAGTAGTCAACAGGCGGTGCATAAAAGGAATACTATACTGAAATCTAAAATGTCACTTAGAAAGGTGTATCTAACAAAATAATAACATAATATTGATAAAAAAAAGACTTACAAATACTAATGTTTAAAAACAATACCAAAATGTCAGTAAATGATCAGTAATATTATAGTGCATACATTAACATTTTGATGAACTTTTATAAAACGTCAAAAAAAAATTAATTAAAATCGTCTAAAATCTAACCAAATTAGTCTCCTTAACTTTCTCTTTTTAAAGATTACTTTAATATCACAATTATAACACTCATATTTCTGGAAAAAAAACTTCATCTTTCCGAACAAACTCTCAACTGGTTTTAAATGGTCTACTAATTATTCTGGTGAAATGCATTGGAATGACTTTACTTCTTCAATTTATATTAAATGTAAATGTGTATTTGTTTACATTATTTTCTTAATTCCAAACTAAAAGCATAATTATTTGTAATTGGTAATGCTGTAGTTAATCTGTATATGTATATAACCAATCTTTCTCTTGCAGCTTTAAATACCAAAGAGTTGAGATGGGTAATCACTCACGTTGATTCGTTAACAGTGGAATTTTCGACTGATTTACGTGATTCTTCGTCTGAACTTTTCATGGAATACCAAGGATACGTGTGTTTTGAAGTAAGTAAAAAATATATTGTTAATTGCCTCAAGTATTGTATGTATATTTTAAAAAGTTATACAATAGAATAATGTTCAGTATTTGGTTCTAGAAAAAAGAATTATATTGTTGTCACAGTTCAAACGTTAAAAAAATTGATCATATATTACATAAATAATACAGTAAAATTCTCTATAAATATTAGGCAGTCAAGTCTGTTCTGAATCATTACATTATGACCTATCTTAATAGGGTGTGGGCATACCTAAGAAAAGCACATGAATACAATACAAGTGTAATAATATAAATGGTTATATTATGTACATTATTATTATATTTTGGCGAATATGAGAATTTTCTAATCTATATAAATAAGAATAGAATAGTCCTACTTTCTATCAATAATTTATGTGTTATAATATATTCTTCAAATACTGAAATATGTTTTAATTCCAAAGATATCTCAAGTTTTTGGCGAAGTGTTAATAAATTGTCAAGTAGTAAGTTTTAGCAGCGGAAGTATTGTAGCAGATATTAACCTCGGCTTTTCGGATCCGGATATAACTGGTGACACAGTGGTTAACGAACTCACAGAAGAAGCTGCAAATGGGACACTTGGCAGACTCTCGGTACCCTCTTCGTCTATCGTTTTAATTGGTATGTAAATTATATATGTATGTATATATAAGAGACAGATATTATTGTGTGTGTGTGGGGGGTTGGTGTGTGGGTGTGTGCGTGTGATTTTATAGGAATATAGGATAAACCTAGAAACAACAAGCCACATAATGCATTTAGTAATTAATTATAAATGTAATAGTAAAAAAATCTTGATGTTACAATTGAGCTACAGAACGGACCGTTTAAGCTCTTCGACACAAAAAAGACCTACTATATAGATTTTAATTATGTATCTTGTAATTAGCAACTGTTTAATGTTTACATAAGCCAGTAAATCACATTTATAATATGTATTACTACCGTTCTGTTCACGACATTAGTTTTGTTAGTTTATTTTGCTTTGAGGTTGTATGTGTATATACTATTTAGGCCTAAAAGAAAGATAGATTAACCATTCATTTTGTTTAAGTGTATGTTGTTATAAATTATAACAAACGGTATTATTTGTTTCTACAGGCGGTTCAACAGTTGGCCCAATACAAACAACAGGTTTGTTTTCTTTCAAAATTTTGCACACTGCAATCTTCATTTATTGGATATATAGGCCTAATTATATATATATATATATATATATATATATGTCTGTAATATATATATATATCGTCTCCATATTTTTCTATATATATATATATATATATATATCAATGCAAAAGAGAGAATCTTCAATTTCTTCATATTTTATTTTTCTTTCACAGGCGGCTCAACAGTTGTGCCATCACAAACAGCAGGTTGGTTTTTCTTTAAAAAAAAAAAATATATATATATATATATATATATTGATATATGATTGCTAATCCATAGATAAACAATATACCATCTGGACAATAGGCCCCTTTTAATCAAAGTTAATCTGCTTCTCAATTAATGATATGCATGTTTTCCTTGTAATAACATCAGTTGTACATATCCGCCTTAAAACCATACGAAACAATATTGTAGTGGAAATAAATGTTATGAAGTAATCAAGTTTTGCCTTCGTCTGTTTTGTATTTAGCGCTACCCCAGTATATATTAGTAGCTCATTCAGTGACGGACAACAACTCAGCATTAACGGAGAGAAACTCAAACGACATGTACAATAAAACTATTAAAAGCTATAACGAGGGCCAAAATGTATTATTTGCCCATTTCTCCCAAAACATAGCAAAACCAACAGAGACTATGAACTTCATTGCACGGGGATAGATTTACCATTCGTTTTGTTTAATTGTATGTTGTTATAAATTATAACGTATTATTTGTTTCTACAGGCGGTTCAACAGTTGTGCCATCAAAAACAACAGGTTTGCTTTCTTTCAAATCAATATATAATAATTATATATATATATATATATATATATATTATAAGAGACAGAGATATATATAAATCATCAAAGAAAGGTAAATACAGTGTTCGAGTAAAGGACATAATAATACATCGTGTAGCATAGCTCTCAACGAACGTTGAGAGCTATGTTACACGATGTATATTATTATGTACTCGAACTCTGTATTTACCTTTCTTTGATGATTTATATATAATTTAAAAGTGTTAACGGCTATCCTGATTTATATTATATGTATATATGTATATATATATATATATGTATTATTTATCGAAGTAAACGAGAGAATCTTCTTTTTTTCACAGGCGGTTCAACAGTTGTGCCATCACAAACAACAGGTTGGTTTGCCAACTGCTACCTATAAAGATTTGATCCATTATGTGTGAGCCCTCAATGTATGAAAGGAAGAGAAACCAGTGGTCTTAGATTTATAATGCTCTCACATGGGCCTTTGTGGTCTAAACGGTATGATGTTTGCCGAGAAAGCGAGAAGTTGCCGGTTCGATTCCCAACAGATACTTCTTTTTTATAGAACTTATAAGAAGGAATTTTCGTTGATGAACTGTTTGATACGATTTCATAAAATCATGTTCATATTTGAGCACTGTATTGTTATCTACAGTATTTGATTTATATATATATATATATATATATATATATATATATATATATATTACATATATAATTTATTTATTTAAGAAAACGAGAAAATCTTCATTTTTTTCATCTATTATTCTTCTTTTACAGGCGGTTCAACAGTTGTACCATCACAAACAACAGGTTGGTTATTTTTCTTTAAAATTTCGCACATTATTTGTATTGATTTGAATATTAAATCTAATATTTTGCCAGCTACTAACTAAAAAAATCGCTCCATTTTGTGTGAGCACTTAGTTTATAAAAGGAAGAGAAACCAGTGGTCTTAGATTCGTAATGATATCGTAGTACGAGCCTCAGTGGTCTAACTGCATGACTCTCGCCGATATAGCGAGAGATTACCGGTTCGATTCCCACCAGAGACCTCTTTTTTCATAGAAATTTTATGAAGGAATTTTTGTTGAACTACGTTTGATACGATTTCATACCATCATGTTCCTATATATTTGAGGACTATCTATTTATGGAAGCAAACGAGAGAATCTTCATTTTCTTTATATATTATTCTTTCACAGGTGGTTCAACAGTTGTCCCATCTCAAACAACAGGTTTGTTTTCTTTAAAAGTTTGCACACTGCAATCTTCAATGATTGGATATATAGGCCAATATATATATATATATATATATATATATATGATGTATCATTGTGAAATGATGTAGCACGTTGTTCCATAATAAATATAATGATGAAGGCGATGACAATAAAATCAAAAGTCAAGTTGACGTATTTTTTTGAACGTAATTTATTTAACACTTCATCAGCGTAAGTTTTATACATTATAAATATTTAAAATATAGTTAAATATAGTTAAATATCTCTAATATATATCACTTACACTGATAAATTCCACTATAATTATATATATAAATATATATATATATGTGTGTGTGTATATAATTATGTTTATATGTATATATACACAGTATATGTATGTATAATATACATGTATATATATATATATTTATATATATATAATATATATATATAATTTTTTTTTATAAAATCAAAAGAGAAAATCTTTATTTTCTTCATCTATTATTCTTCTTTCACAGGCGGTTCAACAGTTATGCCATCACATACAACAGGTTGGTTTTTTTTCTTTAGAATTTAGCACACAATTTGCATTGATTTGAATATTATATCTTATAATTCCAGCTACTAACTAAAAAAATCCCTCCATTATGTGTAAGCACAAAATTGTATGAAAGGAAGAGAAACCAGTGGTCTTAGATTAGTAATAATATATAGCGAGAAATTAATGGTTCGATTCCCACCAGAGACCTCTTTTTTCATAGAACTTATAATTATTAATTCTCTTCGTTTGTTTAGAATAGAATTTATATCTCATCGTTACGGTGATTCATGGTTTGATATGCTGTGTATAATGGGTTATGCAAATGTGGTTACACAATTTTCAGAGTCGTTTTCCCTGATTTGATCCAATTTTGGGGATTTTTATTCCTTGTTTTTTGCCTATCCCAAGGTCAATAGCGTTTTCGAGAAATTGGTTTTTAATGATTATTTATGATCTTTTCGGCCAACATGTTGTTTGTGTAACTTTCATGTTTAATTTTGCTTGGATTCGTAATAGGCCTAACGATGGTATTTGATAATTCAAATTTCAAATTCAAAAGAACATTTATTTACTTCCTTGAAATAAAACATGTAATGAAAAGTAAGTTGTACAGTAGAGAATATAATATTGCAGAAGATAATAAACAATTAGCATACAAAATAATAATAATTATACAAATTCAGCAATAATGGTATTAAATAAGTAAATAACTTACAAATTCAGCAATAATAATAATAATTAATAACTTACATAATACAAAGGAAAGAAGGCAAATATAATGATTACGATCTTCCCACAGCAGAGATGACAGGAATCAAAGGGTACATTAAAGTATTGTACGCAGATAACCGTGATGTGAGAAAATAATAATTTTAATTTATGCGAGAAGTATATGAGAAGTTATTTATGTATTGTTTTGAATGTTAGAATAACTTCTACAAGTAGGCCTGTTATTATATTTCCTATTTAATGATAAATTAAAGAAAATATCTTTTAATTTATGTATAACAAACATTTATGTATTGTTTTGAACGTTAAACGTGTTAAACGTGTTTTGAACGTTAAAAGTGTTAGTGATGTCGCTATAGCAGTGTAAGTTTGTGTGTGTGGCCACACCTTTGCTATAGTAGTGTAAGTTGGCGTGTGTGGCGCACCTTTCACAGAGTAAATATCGATTGGTACAAAATCATAGTATTTGTTTATGTTTGTTGATTGTGATTTGTGTTGAGATGAGACGAAGGAATTTTCGTTGATAAATTATGTTTGATACGATTTCATAACATCATGTTCCTATATATTTGAGCTCTTTATTATTATCTACTTGATTTATATATATGTATAT